GCCACCATTTTGAAAACCTATTTCAAACTTAAAGTCAAGTTCTGCTGGACCGATTGAACTGAAAGTTGGTAGGAATGATCGCCTCATGGTCCTGACAAAGTGTTGTTATTTTTTGGGTCGATCAGAAATCCAATATGGCCACCACGGCCGCCATTTTGAAAACCTATTTCAAACTTAAAGTCAAGTTCTGCTGGACCGATTGAACTTAAAGTTTGTAGGAATGATCGACTCATGGTCCTGACAAAGTGTTGTTATTTTTCAGGTCAATCATAAATCCAATATGGCCGCCACGGCCACCATTTTGAAAACATATTTCAAACTTAAAGTCAAGTTCTGCTAGGCCGATTGAACTGAAACTTTGTAGGAATGATTGACTCATGGTCCTGACAAAGTGTTGTTATTTTTCAGGTCGATCAGAAATCCAATATGGCCACCACAGCTGCCATTTTGGTAAACTATTTCAAACTTAAAGTAAAGATCTACTTGGCCGATTGAACTGAAACTTTGTAGGAATGATCGAATCATGGTCCTGACAAAGTGTTGTTATTTTTCGGGTCAATCAGAAATACAATTTGGCTGCCATGGCCGCTATTTTGCTACTAAGTTCTAATAGGCCGATCTCACTTAAAATTGGTCTAGGAATGATCAGCTCATGGTCCTGACAAAGTTAAGTTAACATTATACTATTTTTTACTCAAATTGGTACATATTTCAACAACAAAAATAAATACTATAGACTCAGGTGACCGTTAAGGCCCATGGGCCTCTTGTTGGAATAGAGCTAACCGATTTGAGAAGGAATATGACATTGACCTACTGACAAGATCACAGGGAAAAATATGTCAAGCAACTTATGAAGAAGAATCAAAAAGCATAGAATCTTATAATAATATTTTGCTGGTAGTTTCAACAGATACAAAGTTTGCGAGGGAAATATTTTTAGTGCAATATAATATTTAATGAGAATATTTTGCTATGACTGCTTGAATATTCAGGTGAGCGATACAGGCCCTCTTGGGCCTCTTGTTACCATTTATATTTTACTTCTGTGGCAGAATATACTGATATTTCACATGTGCTTTAGCATTCGTGTTAAATATTGATATACTGTAATCGTAAAATATTTAATGATATACAGTACTCTATTCTTCATCACTAGGTACTTTTATATACCTTATTGTCAATATTGGTATGGTGTTGTACATGTCTGTCCTTATAATTATAGTTTGGACTAGAATGTAATAGCATGTAATATATCACTTTGTTCTAATTCAGGATGTCTTTTGATTCCGTCTCAAACTCTGGTGACAGGTAAGCAAGCACTCTTAAATAATAAATATCTTTTTGTAGTAATTTATATCAAGTTTCATAAGCCTTTTGACAGCAATGTGAAATGTGAATTTGTAAAAAAAAATCTTATCCTATAAGCCCAGGGTGTCTGTGTATGAAAACATGCCCTATGTGGGCACATACGATTGTTCTACATATATATATATGTACTGCTGCGTTGGCTCCACCCTAGGCTTATTTATAAATCTTGATACAATTCGATCCTGAAGATATATATACTGAGTGACTAGTGCCTTGCAACATATTCTTCAATATGTCAATACCAATAAATACTAGGGTATGGGATATTAAAATATGGTTATTTAAGCCTTGTATGGCTGTTTGATATTGAACAATCACCTAATACATTGTCTCTTACTTGGATATAGTGTTTGACTTTAGTGTATGAAATATTTATGGATGGATCGTTCTGAAATTTTAACAAAATGATGCTTTAACCCCTTGCTGCCTTAATGCCATACCACCATGGTGTTTTATTTGTTGTTGTCATTTGTGCTGGTTACAGACAGAACCACAGTGAAATTGAGAAGCGGAGACGGGACAAGATGAACACTTACATTATTGAGTTGTCTTCCCTTTTACCGATGTGTAGTTCCATGAGCCGAAAGCTAGACAAATTGACAGTGTTACGGATGGCTGTTCAACATTTAAAGTCACTACGAGGTGAAATATTGAATTTCTAGCTGAACTATACACATACATGTTGTTGAAAAACCTATCAATTGTACAATAGATTTATCTTCAAGATGGAAATCCATCCACATAATGTTTACTGGTACACAATGTTTACTGGTACACAATGTTTGCTGGTACACAATGATTACTGATACACAATGTTTACTGGTACACAATGTTTACTGATACACAATGTTTACTGGTACACAATGTTTACTGGTACACAATGTTTACTGATACACAATGTTTACTGATACACAATGTTTACTGGTACATAATGTTAACTGGTATGCATTGTTTACTGGTACACAATGTTTACTGGTACACAATGTTTAATGATACACAATGTTTACTGGTACATAATGTTTACTGGTACACAATGTTAACTGCTACACAATGTTTACTGGTACATAATGTTTACTGGTACACAATGTTTACTGGTACACACTGTTTACTGATACACAATGTTTACTAATACACAATGTTTACTGGTACATCTTGTTTACTGGTACACAATGCTTACTGGTACATAATGTTTACTGATACACAATGTTTACTAATACACAATGTTTATTGGTACACACTGTTTACTGGTACACAATGTTTACTGGTACATAGGGTACACAATGTTTACTGATACACAATGTTTACTGGTACACAATGTTTACTGATACACAATGTTTACTGGTACACAATGTTTACTAGTACACAATGTTTAATGGTACACAATGTTTACTGGTACATAATGTTTACTGATACACAATGTATACACAATGTTTACTGGTACACAATGTTTACTAGTACACAATGTTTAATGGTACACAATGTTTACTGGTACACAATGCTTACTGGTACATAATGTCTACTGATACACAATGTTTACTAATACACAATGTTTACTGATACACAATGTTTACTACTGGTACACAATGTTTACTGATACACAATGTTTACTGGTACATAATGTTTACTGATACACAATGTTTACTAATACACAATGTTTACTGGTACACAATGTTTACTGGTACACAATGCTTACTGATACACAATGTTTACTAATACACAATGTTTACTGATACACAATGTTTACTGATACACAATGTTTAATGATACACAATGTTTACTGGTACACCATGTCTACTGGTACACAATGTTTACTGGTACACAATCTGTACTGGTACACAATGTTTAATGGTACACAATGTTTAATGATACACAATGTTTACTGGTACACCCTGTCTACTGGTACACAATGTTTACTGATACACACACTGTTTACTGATACACAATGTTTACTAATACACAATGTTTACTGATACACAATGTTTAATGATACACAATGTTTACTGGTACATAATGTTTACTGGAACACAATGTTAACTGATACACAATGTTTACTGGTACACAATGTTTCCTGTTACACAATGTTTACTGGTACACAATGTTTACTGGTACATAAATGTTTAATGGTACACAATGTTTACTGGTACACAATGTTTACTGATACACAATGTTTACTGATACACAATGTTTACTACTGGTACACAATGTTTACTGATACACAATGTGTACTGGTACACAATGTTTAATGGTACACAATGTTTACTTGTACACAATGTTTAATGGTACACAAGTTTTACTGGTACATAATGTTTACTGGTACACATTGTTAACTGCTACACAATGTTTACTGGTACATAATGTTTACTGATACATAATGTTTACTGGTACATAATGTTAACTGGTATGCATTGTTTAGTGGTACACAATGTTTACTGATACACAATGTTTAATGATACACAATGTTTACTGGTACACCCTGTCTACTGGTACACAATGTTTACTGATACACACACTGTTTACTGATACACAATGTTTACTAATACACAATGTTTACTGATACAAAATGTTTACTGATACACAATGTTTAATGATACACAATGTTTACTGGTACACCCTGTCTACTGGTACACAATGTTTACTGATACACAATGTGTACTGGTACACAATGTTTACTGATACACAATGTGTACTGGTACACAATGTTTAATGGTACACAATGTTTACTTGTACACAATGTTTAATGGTACACAAGTTTTACTGGTACATAATGTTTATTGGTACACAATGCTTACTGGTACATAATGTTTACTGGGACACAATGTCTACTGGTACACAATGTTTACTGATACACACACTGTTTACTGATACACAATGTTTACTAATACACAATGTTTACTGGTACACAATGTTTACTGCTACACAATGTTTACTGGTACATAATGTTTACTGGTACACAATGTGTACTGGTACACAATGTTTAATGGTACACAATGTTTACTGGTACACAATGTTTAATGGTACACAAGTTTTACTGGTACATAATGTTTACTGGTACACAATGTTAACTGCTACACAATGTTAACTGCTACACAATGTTTACTGTTACACAATATTTACTGGTACACAAGGTTTACTGGTACACATTATATACTGTTACACAATGTTTTATTGGTACACAATGTTTACTGATACACAATGTTTACTGGTACACAATGTTTCCTGTTACACAATGTTTACTGGTACACAATGTTTACTGTTACACAATGTTTACTGGTACACAATGTTTACTGATACACAATGTTAACTGGTACATAATGTTTACTGATACACAATGTCTACTGGTACACAATGTTTACTGGTACACAATGTGTACTGGTACACAATGTTTAATGGTACACAATGTTTACTAGTACATAATGTTTACTGGTACACAATGTTTACTGGTACCTAATGTTTCCTGGTACACAATGTTTACTGGTACACAATGTTAACTGATACACAATGTTAACTGATACACAATGTTAACTGATACACAATGTTTACTGATACACAATGTTTACTGGTACACAATGTTTACTGGTACATAATGTTTATTGGTACACAATGCTTACTGGTACATAATGTTTACTGATACACAATGTTTACTGATACACAATGTTTACTGGTACATAATGTTTACTGATACACAATGTTTACTGGTACATAATGTTAACTGGTATGCATTGTTTACTGGTACACAATGTTTACTGGTACACAATGTTTAATGGTACACAATGTTTACTGGTACGTAATGTTTACTGGTACACAATGTTAACTGCTACACAATGTTTACTGGTACATAATGTTTACTGGTACACAATGTTAACTGCTACACAATGTTTACTGGTACATAATGTTTACTGATACACAATGTTTACTGGTACATAATGTTTACTGGTACACAATGTCTACTGCTACATAATGTTTACTGGTACATTATGTTTACTGGTACACAATGCTTACTGGTACACAATGTTTATTGGTACACACTGTTTACTGGTACAAAATGTTTACTGGTACACAATGTTTACTGGTACATAATGTTTACTGGTACCCAATGTTTACTGGTACATAATGTTAACTGGTACACAATGTTTACTGGTACATAATGTTTACTGGTACACAATGTTTACTGGTACACAATGTATGTGATCAGAGGAGATTAACCAATAACCAATGGCTGCTTGTAATCCTTGCTTAACAAATAAGGAAATTTATGTTTGGACTTGTGCACCTGCTCTCAAGTTTTAGTTTCCACCCTTTTAAAAAGAGTTATGCACCTTTATTTCCAAAAACTTATCGCAACAATTACTGTTGGAGTGATTTCAGTGAAACTGTGTACACCTGATCAGTATTTAGAATTCAAATGTAATTTTCTTTTTTCTTTTTGAAAAAGAGCTATGCCCCTCCTTTACACTATCACTCCAAAGCTGTCTGACATTGAATTCAGTGAAACTTGATTTCATTAAAATTCTAGCCAACATGCAAATTCAAATTTGAGAAGTTCAAACTCTTTCATTGTCCCTAGGTCTGTTGTACTTACATTGATTTATATTAACACTGTATCATTTGAAATTTGCAGGATCAGCCAGTGTCTGTTCAGAGAAAACATCACGACCATCTTTTCTTTCCGAAGATGAAATGAAACATCTAATTTTGAAGGTAAAAATAGCCATTTCGGAGTTCCATTAAAACCTATCAAAATACTTGGTAGTACATATAAGTACACTGTGTTCATGCTCTGTACATGTAGTGGTAGCCTTTAAAGTTAAGATTGCCTGAATTTCCCGTAAATGCATGGATATTTCATCAAAGTAGAAAAATCATAGATCTAGACCAAATATAAGTTTAAGTCGCAGTAAAAAGAATAAAAAAATGCATTTACTGAATATCCCTAACATGAAGTAAGAAGTTAACAATAGGAGATTGTGGAGGAATGTATTATACAAGTGTTGACCTCTTTGTAGGCTGCAGAGGGCTTTCTACTTGTGGTGAGCTGTGACCGTGCTAGAATCCTTTACGTGTCTGAGTCGGTGAAAAATGTCCTCTGCTACTCAAGGGTATGATTATTTTGTCCGTTTGTAACATATCCATCCCCCCACCACCACATCCCACCCCATCCCCCATTTTGTGTTTGAATGTTCTAAGTGAGATATTAAATTTCTCAAAATTTGAATTAAATAACATTATTTAAACATCTTTAGAGAACAGCTGATAGATAATTGAAAGATGAAGTTTTATATTCTTAAGACCTTGATTTTCAGTATCCAATTGCAATGTATTATGATAATGCATGTATTTTAGTTAAGGAACTGAAATGATAATAAGAGATTAAAATAGGGATGATTCATAAACTCTTGGTTTAACTGGTTAGTGAGGTAAAAATGGATCAAATCATTCTAAGGATACGTGTCTTTATCACAGAATGACTTGATAGGACAGAGCTTGTTTGACTACCTACACCCTCGAGACATCAGCAAGGTGAAGGAACAGTTGTCGTCATCTGACGGGTCTCCACGGGAACGACTCATTGATGCCAGAAGTATGGTCACGACAGCCATTTATCTAAAGAAAACATTAAATAGATCAACTACAGGACATATTATACTTAGTCTACAAACTTCAGGTCATATTATACTTAGTCTACAAACTTCAGGACATATTATACTTAGTCTACAAACTTCAGGACATATTATACTTAGTCTACAAACTTCAGGACATATTATACTTAGTCTACAAACTTCAGGACATATTATACTTAGTCTACAAACTTCAGGACATATTATACTTAGTCTACAAACTTCAGGACATATTATACTTAGTCTACAAACTTCAGGACATATTATACTTAGTCTACAAACTTCAGGACATATTATACTTAGTCTACAAACTTCAGGACATATTATACTTAGTCTACAAACTTCAGGACATATTATACTTAGTCTACAAACTTCAGGACATATTATACTTAGTCTACAAACTTCAGGACATATTATACTTAGTCTACAAACTTCAGGACATATTATACTTAGTCTACAAACTTCAGGACATATTATACTTAGTCTACAAACTTCAGGACATATTATACTTAGTCTACAAACTTCAGGACATATTATACTTAGTCTACAAACTTCAGGACATATTATACTTAGTCTACAAACTTCAGGACATATTATACTTAGTCTACAAACTTCAGGACATATTATACTTAGTCTACAAACTTCAGGACATATTATACTTAGTCTACAAACTTCAGGACATATTATACTTAGTCTACAAACTTCAGGACATATTATACTTAGTCTACAAACTTCAGGACATATTATACTTAGTCTACAAACTTCAGGACATATTATACTTAGTCTACAAACTTCAGGACATATTATACTTAGTCTACAAACTTCAGGACATATTATACTTAGTCTACAAACTTCAGGACATATTATACTTAGTCTACAAACTTCAGGACATATTATACTTAGTCTGCAAACTTCATGACATATTATACTTAGTCTACAAACTTCAGGACATATTATACTTAGTCTACAAACTTCAGATTACATGTAGAATTGTTGGCATTTATATTCATATTACTTCAGAAATAGAATTGAAAACGATTCAATACTTCTATTAAGGTATTTTGTACTGTATGTTAAGATTTCATTCAAGATTACTTACTTGATGTCATATTGTCTGTTATTTTCAGCAATGTTGCCGGTGAAGACTGAGTTTACCCACCGACCAACACCTACCCATTTGTGTTCCGGGGCCCGAAGAGCTTTTTTCTGTCAGATGAAGTGTGGCAACCGGGACATGACCTCAATTAAATCAGAAAAGGATGACATTGATTTCTGTCACAGGCGGAAAAAATCAGGTAAATGATTGTAACCAAGAAAACTGTTACATCGTTCTTGCATAACTTCCAGCTCTATTTTAAAATAAACTCCTCTGTCACATAATTTGCATTCATTCTTTCCTCCAAGCTGTTTTAAAATAGCAACACACACATGTAAATCTGTTTGTCATTAACCTTATTAGCTCACCTGCCCGAACTTCAAACAACTTCTTCTGAACAACTGGAAGTTATAGAACCTTAATATTTGGCTGGTTATTTCCTGGGAAAGAGCCCAGCAAAGTTTGCGAATGAAAGTGACCTTGACCTACTTTCAAGGTCACAGGAGTCAGATATGACTAACGCTTAGAACAACTTCTTCTGAAGAACTGAAAGGCATAAAATCTTATTATTTGGCTGGTGACTTTCTGGGATAGAGCTCACCAAATTTTGCGAATGAAAATGACCTCAACCTATTTTAGAGGTCACAGAGGTCAACAACATTTTAATGGATTTGTTCTTAAGAACTAAAAGGAATGGATTCATAAGATTTGGCTGGTAGCTTTTGGAATAGAGCTAACCAATTTGAGAAGGAAAATGACATTAACCTACTTACAAGGTCACAGGGAAAAATATGTCAAGCAACTTCTGAAGAATCAAAAAGCATAGAATCTTATAATAATATTTTGCTGGTAGTTTCAACAGATGAAGCCAACAAAGTTTGCCAGGGAAATATTTTTAGTGCAACATAATATTTAATGAGAATATTTTGCTATGATACAGGCCCTCTTGGGCCTCTTGTAATCAATTAACACTGATGTTTAGCTCATTTACCCCTGAAGACACATTTGAACTCTTTCAATTCAATGGTTGGAATAGGTCATTATGAAATTTCAGGGGTGAACGAGTTAAGATAAAGATCAGACCTGATTGGTCGTTAAGTGTAGAGTGTTTAACGTTTATTTAAACTCCAATGTGCTGATAGGTGAGTATACGTCTTTTGTTGTCTCGGCAGTTTGTCTTATTACATAACATGTAAAGATATTGTTACTTTTGGAGGATCTGATGAGGAAAATATTTATTGTCTAAAAAAAATATGAACCATGTTAAGATGGACCAATAATAGTCAATTTTGCACTTTTTTTACGATACAAAGTTAATTTTGAAGATTAATTTCAATATTGTCGTATATAGACCGGAAGTCGTACATTTTGATACACTGTGCGGGATACCTAAAGTCGTGGTCCACATCCAAAGTTGACATTGGTGAGACAGATGAGGCTGACGACAACTGTAACCTCAGCTGTCTGGTGGCCGTGTGTCAGGTGAAGTCATCCCTCGACCAGTTACAGATCTCCACCAACGACAAGATCAACGTCCGACCCATAGAATACATCTCCAAACACAGCATAGATGGCAAGTTCTCCTACATTGACCAGGGGTAAGTTCTGCCATTACCCTTCTCAAATGTAACAATAAGAACAAAAACAATGATTTATTTTCACACAAACATTTTGACCTCAAATAATCATACATTAATTTTGTAAGCAGTGTACTATCACTTGAGCTTAACAGATTGACTAGATTTTGCAGAGTTGGGTTTTCAATACACCAACGTGGTAAAAACTGAACTCTTAAGTCTCTTACTGAAATTTAACCCTACTATTTAATTGAACACAGATTTGCCAAATCGTTGACACTTTTTCCCAGCTGCTGAAAAGACACTGCAAAGTCTTCAATTTTTTCCTTAGAATGGAAATATCTTTCATCCAAGTCCTCAAAATGTAAAAAATACGCTGGAATTTTCTTTATCCGCAGTTTTTGAAATAACACCCTATAATGTTGTTTTAATGTAGGGCCACCATCTTGCTAGGGTACCTTCCTCAGGAGCTGTTGGGCACATCAGTGTACGAGTATTATCACCAGGATGATGTCATGGAGATGGCTGAAACACACAGGAAAGGTACAATGATGCTCAAAGAAAGGAGGATCATTTTATCTATATTTTTTTGGTATCTATTTAGCTCACTTCCAATTTTAGAACGTAAAACGTATTTCTTACGATAACTTGTAAGTGAAATGTACATGTAGTCTCATTCAAGAGAAACTCCATTTTACTGAAGTGACATAAAATCATTTACATTTATGAAAGTACCTAGGTAAGTGTTTGGAGAAACAATTAACATGTAGGAAGTTATGTGTTTTACAGTGGAGAAACAATTAACATGTAGGAAGTTTAGCGTTTTACAGTGGAGAAACACTTATAATGTGGGAAGTTTAGTGTTTTACAAGGGAGAAACAATTAACATGGAGGAAGTTTAGTGTTTTACAGTGGAGACACAATTAACATGTAGGAAGTTATGTGTTTTACAGTGGAGACACAATTAACATGTAGGAATTTTAGTGTTTTACAGTGTAGAAACAATTAACCTATACTGTAGGAATGAATGTATGTTACAGTAGCAACAATTAACATATACTGTTGGAATGTATGTTACAGTAGAAGCAATTAACATATACTGTTGGAATGTATGTTACAGTAGCAACAATTAACATATACTGTTGGAATGTATGTTACAGTAGCAACAATTAACATATACTGTTGGAATGTATGTTACAGTAGAAACAATAAACATATACTGTAGGAAGGTATGTTACAGTAGAAGCAATTAACATATACTGTTGGAATGTATGTTACAGTAGCAACAATTAACATATACTGTTGGAATGTATGTTACAGTAGTAACAATTAACATATACTGTAGGAAGGTATGTTACAGTAGAATCAATTAACATATACTGTAGGAATGGATGTATGTTACAGTAGTAACAATTAACATATACTGTAAGAAGTTATGGATGTTACAGTGGAAACAATTAAAATATACTGTAGGAATGAATGTATGTTACAGTAGCAACAATTAACATATACTGTTGGAATGTATGTTACAGTAGTAACAATTAACATATACTGTTGGAATGTATGTTACAGTAGCAACAATTAACATATACTGTAGGTATGTATGTATGTTACAGTAGAAACAATTAACATATACTGTAGGAATGTATGTTACAGTAGACTATAATTATCAGACTGTCATTTTGGCTCTGAAACTAGTGGTCATTACTTTCCATAATCTAATATTGCAGTGCTGAAGTCAAAGGAGAAGGTGGAGACATGCGTGTACCGGTTCAAAATTAAGGATGGGTCCTTTATACATCTGCGATCTCGTATCTTCAGTTTTCAGAACCCTTGGACTAAGGAAGTCGAATACATTGTGTCTACAAACACTATCATACCGTGAGTATGGTTGAACATAGAAAAGTTCTTTCCACCAGGTCTTCACTTACCTAGGTCACCTTATATATTTGAACCCTGCAGGTTATCTGATAGGGTCAGGATTATTTTACTTTCAGCATTTAGGCCAACTTGTTTCCCTCTGTTGAAGAGAATCATTCCAAGGGTCACCTCTGGTCCTTAAAACATTGAGATATCAAAAATATATGCATACATTGGCATGTTGGTACGATCTTTTAAATAACATGTTGTTATGTATTTGATATCAATGAATGGCAATTGGTAATCATTTAATTTCTTATCACGTCTTATTTAATTTTGTTGAATTTAAAGGAGATAGAGGTGCTGAATTCTTCGGAAAGAAAAATATTTGCATCGTGGTCGCTTTTGAATGTCTATTCTGATGTTTATTCTTGTGTTCACAGTTCACAGGAAGTGAGCAGCTCAGGACAGGAAATGAGCACTGTGAGCTCTGGGATAGGTTTTGACAGCGAAGACAATAATTACGAAGACAACGAATCAGGTAAGGCTGTGTCCCTGTGTTAGAGGTGTAATCAAGTGGCACATTGCTATCTTAGGTTTAACAATTCCTTCTTTTATCTACCGTAAATAAAAAAACTACAATTTATCTTTGAGTGCATATGCTTATATGGTTGTTGATATTCATCCTATCTTCTTCCTCAGAAATTCAAAGTCAGCCTGATCGTGGGCGAGTAAATGTGCCAGGAGTGGCTGGTGGAACACGTTTGGGGGCTGGTCGCATTGGCAGGCAGATAGCGGAGGAAATTCTGGAATTACAACGGTATGGTGTTTAACAATGAATTCTTCTTGTTTGATTGTCTTGTAGACATTGAAACCTTAACATTTTAATGCGTGACTTTATTATTTAGCACAATTAGGTAGATGATCATGTCAATGGAATACTGAACAATAATCCCTTCATATACTGTCATGCTTATTTTTTCCTGTATGAAAGGAGATCGAGCAATCTTATTAAAATTATATCTTCACATCGCTCCCGTTTACTGATATGTCGCGTTGAAGATCTAACAACATCCCGTAGAGGGTCACGTCAGAGGTCAACATGAATGCATTATCGCATTTATAACAAGCCAATCAAAACGCAACATAACTCTTTCATTCAACCAATCAGAAAGCAGGACCTGTAGCATTTAATGCAGACACCTCGTAGCCCAAAATCCACTTTTTCGTCTGGTCCAGTGATAGTTTGAATATTGCGAAGCCTGTCATAGGTTAATTTTAGTTTCAGGTTGTTAAACTTTTTAACGACAACATCACCAGAAGAGGAAGTCTCTCTTATTTCAAAGCAAAATCCACAAATTGTACAAACGTTGTCTTGTAGATAGACACGGCGTGGTGTCATGGGCGCCGCCATTTTCGATGCTCATTTGACACCTCTCGGTCTTTTATCATAGCAAGTGTGTTCCGAAATCATTACATCATCACTTACAGAAATGCGTAAGCTCTCATCTGATTGGTTAATGCAAAGGTCGCCTGAACATGACCCTCTATGGGATGTTGTTAGATCTTTAACGCGACATATCAGTAAACGGGAGCGATGTGAAGATATAATTTTAATTAGATTGGAGATCGAGCAAATACTTTTTACAATATTGTTATAAAAAGCTTTTATTTTAATTCACTTAAAAAGGTTGAACTTTGAATTTATTCTGAGCACAGCTTCTTGTTGTGAAATAAAACAGTCTGACACAGCACTACTACAGCATGCTATACTGAAAAAATAGATTCCACAGTGAATAAACAATCCTGAGAAAAATGCTACAACAGATTATTTTCACATGGTTAAGTATTCATGTGTGTTTGTCTTCTACACTTCTTCAGTCAACTTGTTTGTATAATGTTTGATTCCTTGTGACAATACATCAGGCATCTCAGCATTAAGTCTGTGTGTTAACAATATTCTAGAGACACATTATGTTATCATTTTTTGCACAAAGATGTGATATGATAATGTGATTTGATGTTACAGTGGCCAGAGCAGTAACACATCTACCGCCTTAGCAGACAGTACCAATCCTGTTGGCACTCCCTCTCCCGAATCTGTAAGTATATTTTACATATAGTAACTATCATCCTATATAATACTAAATGTACTGTCAATAATAGGGATACTCTCGTTCTGTGAATACATTTGTTATTATTCCTCACAACCTATGGAAGTTTCATAAAGAAACATGGTGTAAATTTTTGGCGAATAAGAAAAATGTAAATGATCCCCTGTTGTGTCTGTCTGAATTTTTGGCGAATCAGAAAAATGATAACTTGAGACAGGCCTCCTTTTTTTTTGGAGATACTGAAGGGATCATGATAAAGTATGCTGAATCTTCTCTGTCCCCAGATGTGCATGCTAAAATTTGAGAGTGATTTGGAAATCTAGCATAGAACAAGCATCTGAAAAAAACATGTTGTAATTTTGGGTTGAGTGATCCCCTTGATACCTATTGAAGTAGAGAAGTAAGGAACAAGGAACCAACATAACAGCAACACTCCATGATCTATGAATAGTAGGAATCTAGGTCCCCATGGGGTTTCTAATTGGCTTCAAATTCCACTACCTTGCCCAAGATTCTGAGTTTATCCTTGGCAATAAAATGTTAGTAGCCTCTTATATAACACAATGTCCTTCGTCTTTTCCCAGCTTGTCAATAGTACAACAACCAGAACGCAGTTTGTGACCACTACATCAGGTAGGAACGAACATTTTATTTACTTTTGTTGTGTTGTGGGTTTTTTAGGTCACCTGAGCTTTAGCTCAAGTGACCTATTGCTATCCGTTTTCGTCCGTCGTCGTCCGTCGTCCGTCGTCCGTTAACATTTTACATTTCAAACTTAAAGTCAAGTTCTGCTGGGCCGATTGAACTGAAAGTTGGTAGGAATGATCGCCTCATGGTCCTGACAAAGTGTTGTTATTTTTTGGGTCGATCAGAAATCCAATATGGCCACCACGGCCGCCATTTTGAAAACCTATTTCAAACTTAAAGTCAAGTTCTGCTGGACCGATTGAACTTAAAGTTTGTAGGAATGATCGACTCATGGTCCTGACAAAGTGTTGTTATTTTTCAGGTCAATCATAAATCCAATATGGCCGCCACGGCCACCATTTTGAAAACATATTTCAAACTTAAAGTCAAGTTCTGCTAGGCCGATTGAACTGAAACTTTGTAGGAATGATTGACTCATGGTCCTGACAAAGTGTTGTTATTTTTCAGGTCGATCAGAAATCCAATATGGCCACCACAGCTGCCATTTTGGTAAACTATTTCAAACTTAAAGTAAAGATCTACTTGGCCGATTGAACTGAAACTTTGTAGGAATGATCGAATCATGGTCCTGACAAAGTGTTGTTATTTTTCGGGTCAATCAGAAATACAATTTGGCTGCCATGGCCGCTATTTTGCTACTAAGTTCTAATAGGCCGATCTCACTTAAAATTGGTCTAGGAATGATCAGCTCATGGTCCTGACAAAGTTAAGTTAACATTATACTATTTTTTACTCAAATTGGTACATATTTCAACAACAAAAATAAATATTGTAGGACTCAGGTGACCGTTAAGGCCCATGGGCCTCTTGTTTCAAAATGAAATGAAACCAATAGGAGAAAATATAATCTGTAACTTAATTTTTTTTTGGAGGGGATGAATATAATATCATAATACATGACTAGTAGTTAAATGGATAAAGTGTCTTTAATGTTGATTTATGTCAATTTACCTAATTAGGTTGACAAAAAGATATAACTAATAAACTTGTAATATTGCACAAATTTGTTACGATGTGAACTAGTTCTGTTTTGACGTATTTGTGAAGATACCATTATATGTGTTACAGTATCATCGGCCTCATCAACCCACCTCCCTTCAGGATCATCGGCCTCATCCCCCCACCTCCCTTCAGGATCATCCAATCTTCTCATCACATCCACAGCCACATGCCCTGCACCCCTCAATGGCCTGTCTATCAAGTCTACCAGTAAGTATTTAGGTCACAGTCTGTTTTATATAGTGAATGTCCACAGTAAGTATCTAGGTCATGGTGACAGTATTTATTTTATGTCACAGTCAGTGGTAAGTATCTAGGTCATGGTGACAGTATTTATTTTATGTCGAATCAGTGGTAAGTATCTAAGTCATGGTGACAGTATTTACAGTCAGTGGTAAGTATCTAGGTCATGGTGACAGTATTAACTTGATGTCACAGGCAGTGGTAAATATCTAGGTCATGGTGACATTATTAACTTGATGTCACAGTCAGGGGTAAGTATCTAGGTCATGGCGACAGTATTAACTTGATGCCACAGTCAGTGGTAAATATCTAGGTCATGGTGACATTATTAACTTGATGTCACAGTCAGGGGTAAGTATCTAGGTCATGGTGACAGTATTTGCCGTCATTGGTAAGTATCTAAGTCATGGTGACAGTATTTGCCGTCATTGGTAAGTATCTAAGTCATGGTGACAGTATTTGCCGTCATTGGTAAGTATCTAGGTCATGGTGACAGTATTTATTTTATGTCACAGTCAATGGTAAGTATCTAGGTCATGATGACAGTATTTACTTTATGTTACAGTCAGTGGTAAGTATTTAGGTCATGGTGAGAATATCCGACAGATTTTGAAAGTTAATGGGTATGGATCTAGGTCAATATCCAAGTTTGTGTTATGAATCAATTCAAGGACACTGGTAAATACACAGATCCAGTTGATTTATAAATATCAATTTTACTGGTGAGTATCCAGGTCAACGTCACAGTCTTTGCTATATAACAACCTTTTTTTTGTATCAAATGTATAAATTTCATAATCAATGTTTGTTTGTCTTCTCTGTTCTCTGTACCAAGGGGGATAATCCTGATTGTGAATGATGGTGGTCTTCCAAAATCATTTATCTCTCTGTGGAAAAAATAGAGCAAATGTATACAGTTGTGCTTATATTAGCTATGGCTTTAAAAAACTAATTTAAAGTCAAGGTCGCTAGTAAGTATCCATGTCAGTGTTATAGAATAGTTAGGAGTAAAAATGATGGTGCTATGTAATTAAAGGACTTTTTTATAGTAGTTGTTATTCCCTGCTTCATGTTCAGCATTAAGGGTAATGGCAACAACTGGTTCACCCGTTGTCAGTATAATGTGAGCGGGCGGAATGATGTACTGGGTGCCTTCTGCATGGTATTTCAGTGAGATAGCACTATAAAATCAGATCCGCGCTATCACACTAACATACCCTGTCACCTGGATACACACAGGCAAGCACACATACACTACACACATGGAGGCACGTCCTTAAATAACCTTAGCTGTTGATAGGACGTTAAACAAAATTAAACTAAACTGAACCAAGCTATGTAATTGATCATAAACAAGTTTGGAAAGTTTAATTTCTCAAGAACAAATGCACAGAATTACAGAACTTTTTACTGTATACAGAGGGGCCGCGGTGGCCAAATGGTTAAGGTGTCTGACATTCTGCTACCACTAGCCCTCCACCACTGGGTCACAGGTTCAAGACCTCCATCATCAAAACCTGGCACGTCCTTAAATGACCATAGCTGTTAATAGGACGTAAAAACACAAACAAACCAAACCAACTGTATACACAGGTCATGGTCAGAGTCTGTTTGCAATTACAATATACCAAGCATCCACATCACTGTTAAACCTCCTGATCATGGTCATAGTTTATGCTCAGAGACTTTCTTGTAGAAATGTTTAGCCCAACCCTCCCCTACCCTCTAAAGTTAAGAAATGTATATATAGTAATGACATTGTAAGTATGTACATCTGTGCATCCATCCTTATGTCTGTAGTAAACAAACTTTTGGAGGGGGCTCCTGATTTTTGACCCTAAAATTGTGCATTTTCAACCTGTGCATTTGCTAAACTATTCCTATTTCTAAAATCTTATAATTTTTTTGTATTTGAAAGAACAGCCCAAAAGATGTCATTTAAAAGTGTTATTTCCCCCCTAGGGTGTACATACTCGCATTTTATTTAATCTTCACCATGGAAATTTCAAAAAGTCAGCAAATATGGATATCTCGTATGAAACTGTCTACAGATTGAGTGTATAGTTACTGCATAATATGGTAACATTGACTTCTACACCTGATTAGATTTTGGTCAATTGTCATTATTGCTTTTGTACAAGATGTCTTGTGAACCCTTAGCAGATTTAGTTTAAATCTCCATTATACAACATTTACATTTTATCAAATTTTGGTGTCATCAGTCAAGGTTAAAAGGCCTATGACCAAATATTACCTCTTTTGAAGTGGTATCCCATGAACCCCTCAGAAGATTTAGTTCATGTCTCATTGATAGTTCGGTAACATTGAATTCTATACGTGATTAAATGTTGGTGGTCAGTGGTCAAGGTGAAAGGGTTAAAGACTGCATTTGACCACTTTTGGTAGATTTCTGGATGTGTGGTGGGGTATCCATGTGAGCCTCTGCTTTCTTTGTTTTATATTGGGCAAGTCTCAGCAAAACGTTACAGAAAAAAACATGCTTTCATTGTAACATTATAGATTAAACAGATTCCGTTCATGTTTAAAACTGACCTCAACATTGACATAAGACTTGTAGAGATATTTTAGAAAGGTAATGTTGATGCACCTAGCCTTGCAGACAGGTGACACAATTCACTGGCCAAATTGAAAACGGTGCTGTAAAAGTATTTTTTTCTGGGGTTTAATTTTCTTGAATATGGCTGGACAGATTTTTCTGTGAAAAATACAAGTCGCAAAATTAGTAGGCATTTAATCCACCCTTACAATAGCATTGAGCCAATGCAATAAAACCTCAAATTATCAAGGAATTGATCCTGTGAAAAGATTAACCATTTCAGCAAATCCGTGAAAATCAGGGACCACCAAAAAATGAAAATCAATTTTTATAGTAGGCCCTTCTTGTTTCACTCTGATGTAAATAGTGGGATTTCATTCATACATGTATATTTTGCAGACTTTGTATGTTAATGTGTTTTCTGTCCACAGCACCGAGCACCAATATACCATCCTGTTGGATGTCCGAGTCCAGCTTGATAGAGAATGTGATTGCAGAACAACAGGCAATAGAGGACATGGATGGCTCTGATGGCAATGACGAGGCAGCAATGTCCATTATTGTGAGCCTTTTGGAGGCTGACGCAGGCCTGGGTGGACCTATAGACTTCAACGACATCCCTTGGCCACTATGATTGTACAGGGGGCAAGGTTCTACATGCTTTGCTCCACAAAACCACACCCTTCAAAATATAAGAGGGGCCAAGCTGTATCACCTTGCTCCCAACAACAACTTCCTTCTGAGTACCGGAGAGGTTAAAATATATGATCTTTGCCCTGAAAAAATATTTCTGTTATGGGAATTAATAATTACATTTCCATGGACAATGACATTTGTCAATTTACAAGATGGAGAAATTTGTAAGTTTGTTGTTCTTTCTTCATATCTTAGTACAGTATTGATAACATGAGGGCCTTGCTCCAGAAGACAACATTTCATTGCCTTGGCTAGTTTATTGGCCAAGGTTCCCAATGTGCTCCAGGAAATACATCTCTGTTCAGTTACAGAAGAGGCAGGGCAGTGTTACCTTGTGTCTGTCAGAGAAATCCCATGGCCTACACTAGAGATGATTTTCGGGAACATTAAGATAAAGAAAATTGTGATATTAGTTAAATAAGTGATTTACCTGAAAGGTTTTATATTAGTTTATAAAGTGCATTTGAACCCAACATTATTATGACGGATGTGGGAAAGGATGACCAAAATGGAAAAGAGACATCTGGAAGATGATTCCCTAATTTCCATGGAGGAAGAAGGTGCTCAAAGATATCTTTGTTGTCATTGTTTGTAATAATAAGCTTTAAAGATACTGTGATGATAAGGGTTGAATCAATTTGTCAAGGACAATCTCCTAACCCTGTTGTTTATTGTTTGTTACATGATGTGGAGTTCTGATGGCTATAGTTTCGTGATAGTTGTTGTTTTGGCTACTGTTGGAGGTGGCAATTTATTTATATATATTAATATATATATATGACACTGACAGCTCAAATATTGTAATCAGTAAATGAATATTTTTGTGTGTGAAATATGATATAGAATTCCAAAACAAGAATACTCCATTTGACCAGTTTTATGCAAACCACTGGATATGGTGATCCCCTTGTGTTTATATTGTCGTCCTATGTACTCCTGTTACTTTGTATGTATTTTTGTATCAAAAAGATCAAGATGTTTTAATCGAAAAGCTGCCTTAAGCTAAATGAGGACATGGAGATGAGTATTTTACTGTAACTAAGTAAATATAGAGAAACAGTGTAGAATTATTGTATTAATTCTTTAATGTGATTCTGTGCTAATCAAGTGTGCAATCTGATTAAATTATGGTTCACTTAGCCTTAATTAAGGGCCAAGTGAGCTTATGCCATGCCACAGCATCTGTTGTCATCTTTAAAATAGAAAAAAAAACACTTCTATAGAACGGCCAAGAGGATTTCTACTAAATTTGGTCATTAAAATAACACATATATGGTATGGATAAGAGATTTTAGGCAAAATTTATCTGGAGCATCACTGGGGCAAAGGAACTCCACATTATATAAACTAGAAGGTGTAATCACATGAGGTAGGGGGTAGTGCTCAATAGGGGAAATTTGGTAAATCTTCAAAAACTTCATCTATACCATAACAAGGGGATTTAACCAAATTTGGTCTAGTGCATCCTCATAGACTTAAGAGACTCAACAATCTTAAGTGTTGAAATAAACATTATTTTAGATTATTATCCCCTGCAGAAATTAAATAAAGAAAGTGATTTTTTTCATTTAATTTGGTGTAAGTTATCATTTAATGTAGGATGCCCCTACCCTCCATCAACAGTTTATAAGAAGAAAGTATGGCCAAACTGGGGCAGATGATTCCTGAGTTTAGTCATTTTTGTTTGTTCTCACTTACATTTGTTGTACTCTTTTGATGACTGTGCATATACCATATTTGACCCACAGCAGTTTAAATCAAAAGTTTAAGACCAGGTGAGCTTTTAGGCCACTTGGCCTCTTGTTAATGAAAACAGGGATAATGTATTGTTTTAACCAAAATTTGCCTTAAGCTATATAGTGCAAAATAGAATTTTTCTTCATATCAGATAATATATGTAACATATATTTAGTATTGGGTATTCCAATTGAATAAAAAAATTAATGTAGAAGAAATTTTTACCCTGATATTATTTTTCCGAACCCCATGCTTGTAGAACATTGGCTTAACGAGGTTGTTTTTAATGAACTTGCATGTATAAAAAATGTTTTTACCTGAATTTTTTACCCAAGTCCCAATGAAGGAGGGACAGTGATTTTGATACTCAGGATGTTAGTTATGTTTTATCAACTTTAGAGCAAGTTTCTGAAGTGTGCATTTTCCAAACCATGTTCTTCTCAGTGGACTGTAAACCATCATTAGTACATTTGTCACAAAATTCCATTTTTTCTGTTGATACAATGTAAGTACATCAGTAAGTCTTTAGTGAGATATCTTTTTCCATTATTGTGTTGTTTGTAGTAAGAGACTATCTCCTTAACTCACACTTGTGACCCCACCACCCATCCAAAAAATAAATTGAGTCTGAAATTCTTTGGGTAAATGAAACACTGAATTTGACACAAATATTGTCCATTAAAGTCTGTCAAACCTACTGTAACGTGAGCTCATTTATTCATGACGGCCAATATTACTGCTCCACACAGTTTATTATACATGTATTTCCACATTAAAATGGAAAGTTAGGACTGGGCAAATGTATTTATTACCGTTGATGGGCGAGTATTTTACTACGTGAAAAGTTCCAATTATACCGTATTTCAAGGTCCCAAATATCTTTTACCTTACTGTTTCTTTACATTTCTCTCTTTTGATGTATTGACAAACCTCTAGATAGTAGCTGGGTTTTACTGGACAGATGGCGGCACTATCTAACAAGGTTTTCTGTTCAACTGTGTGATTGTACAGAAGACTGTTCATGCTATACAGATTACTATGTAATTACTGCACAACAGACTTCCTTACAAGCAGGACTGTTTTAAATTTTGTGTCGGTATCAGTTTATCTTAAGCAGTTTACCAATTTATTTAAATATGTTTCAATTTTGTTTTAAATTTGATGACATATCAAGGTAATCGTACACTAAATACAGAATATTTTGACCCCTATTTCCCAAAACTTGTACCTGGGAATTGTAAGAAAGACCCGAAAAAGTGCTGGCGTGTCATCAAGTGTCACCAATGAACAATGCCAGGATACAAATTGTACTGCTTATCTATCCTTTTCTTCAGTAACACTGGAATTCATTTCAGAATGCCCCAAATGCAAACCTTTATTTTGAACAACACTGGGCACCTTCTGTTTATATTGATAATGGGAAGATAAACTGACTGTAATATCATAAAAAGCATGCTTTTAGGCTTTTAGTAAAAAGCAAATGAAGGTATAGTGTACATATATATCTATATATATTTATAAATTGTTACATATTATTCATGATAATACAGACAACGATTTTAATTAAAAACTTTTTCGTAGATTTAGGCCATTTTGATCAAGGCCTGTTTTACCTTTTGTCCTATTGTACATTTCGGGTGATTTATGTAGATTTGTGAATTACCAGATGGCAAAGTAAAATATGATTTACAACGAACATGGTATGAAGAATGAAGAATGATTGTTTGATAACTTCAAATCACTTTGATTTTGCATGTTAGTTTCTAGCAAGTTGTGCCTACCGGTTTTATTCACTCATGTATGCTTGTATTTACGATTAAATGGATGTTTTTTCAACTGTGACAGAAATCAGTTTTTGTCTGGTACTGTTGGAGGGGTCTTTAGGTTCAACCGTTTGCAGTATGTATGTTATTCCACTGTCAGTCAGTCAGTGTTTGCAGTATGTATGTTATTCCACTGTCAGTCAGTCAGTGTTTCATTTTGTCCAGAGTGTATCCAACATACTCTTTCTGCTTAATTTGTCAAATTTTGTGTTTGAGTATTCTTGGTATAATGGAATGAAAAAAAATCTAACTTTTTGGCCCACTACATGTACAGTTATTGCCCTTTGTTTACCATTGTCACTTTGTCTGGAGCATTATCTGATGTAAGATACCCTACCTTTATCAAATGTTGTGAGTACCTGTAAAGGTGGAGTGCCCAACAATGTATAGAGTAAGGTTCTTTGTTCATTTTTGATACCAGATTTTGTCTGGAGGCATAAAGGGACCACGGGTTTCTCGCACATCTTTGTCTCATTATTAATGGAGTTGATATTTCCAGAAGATAATAATTTTCAGATTAATCACTTGTAAAAAATGAAAAAGTAATTGACCGTATTGAAAAATATATATTGTAAGGTTTACATGCCCTCAAGGAAACCAAATGTACAATCAGTACCATTATGCGCCTTGTGTACATCTCCAGTATAATACAGCCGTACCATTGTCTGCTGTACTTTACCATCATGTACAGTATATCCTTGTTCAAAAGGTGATTAGATTAATCATTGTTTAACGACATTTTTCAATCTCTAATAATTTAGTCATTATACAAAGTAAAGCCTATACGTTTTGCATGTACTTTACTCTGATGTAATATAAGCTATCTGGAAAATTTTAACTCAGTGTTTTAAAGATACACCAAAACTTAAATTTGCGCTAATCACTGATTAAGCTAATCACCATTTGAACAACTGGGCCTGAAATCCTAATTCATGACAACATCAAATTACATGGACAACAAGACACCCTAACCTGACTGTGGCAATCGTCCAATATACAAACTGGTAATGCTAGGAAGTACTTAACCTGTGGAAGACTGGCATCTTCCACAGGGCAGTCACTGACTCTTGGTCAGTTCTCCTTGTCACTTCATGTCATAGCATCTTGGCTAAGCATTGACTCTATGGGCCACTTGCCCTGGAAAGACTACTCAAATTCTACATACAATATCACTCAATAAAATCTAATGCACATTGAAGACTTTTTAAATACATGTACTAAATAGGTACAGTAGCAATACATAGTGGGGTTCTAAAATTGTCTAATGTTAAGGAATAATTGAAAAAACAAAGAGGATTTATTTATTTTTTTATTTCATAAAACTGTTCAATTGATTTTGAATTTATCTTGAAATCAGAATGTGGAGTGGCAAAGTATTGTGAATTTCAAGAACATTCCAAGAAGATGTATAGAGTTTTGTCAATGATGCAGAGGAACTAAAAGTTGTTGATATTCGACAGAGGATTTGTTTTTTAAATACAAAATAAAATAAGTCTGCAATGTTGTACATTGCTAGAACATTAATTATTTTAACTTATTTATTACTGGGGTAGTTTTCTTTGGGGGGACAATTTTTTGTTTCCTACTTTAATTTATGACGCTTGCTAGTTTTCTAATTTGTACACTTTTAGACACTTTTAGGGCTTGTTATATATGTTAAAAAGATAGTAAAATATTTGTTTTATTTATGAATTGTTTATTAATTAGTTCTGAAATTTATGTTGCAGTTGTTAATATATTATTGAATAAAATTATGCCTGTAGTTAAATGAAATTTAATATCTCTATAATACCTGATTTTTTCCTCAATAAACTTTATAAATCAGTGTTGTATTGAATGAAGTAATTTCATTCAGTAAAATTTGATATACCCAGATTCTTTAATATTTTTTTCATTTACCATGAGTTTTGTTTTCAGATTTATTTTCATTCCAACCCAAACTGCGATACCATGCTGTATGAAGCTCCACATGTCATTTAAAATATAATCTGCATTGATCTGTTTTATTTTAATTTTAATAGGGGGTGGGGGATGGTTCATTGAAGACGAGGTGACTAAAACTAATTTGCCAAGTCCAGTACATTGAAAGAGAGGAGGGTGGCTATAAGGGGGAGTCCGGTATTGAAAGAGAGGAGGGTGGCTATTAGGGAGAGTCTGGTATTGAAAGAGAGGAGGTTGGCTATTAGGGGGAGTCTGGTATTGAAAGAGAAGAGGGTGGCTATTAGGGAGAGTCTGGTATTGAAAGAAGGGTTCTGATTGGGTAAGTACATTGAAAGAGAGGGGGGTGGCTATTAGAGGGAGTCTGGTATTGATGGAGGGGTTCTGATTGGGTTAGTACAATGAAAAAGAGGTGGGGAGGGGGGCTATTAGAGGGAGTCTGGTATTGAAGGAGGGGTTCTGATTGGGTCAGTACATTGAAAGAGAGGGGGGTGGCTATTAGAGGGAGTCCGATATTTAAGGAGGGGTTCTGATTGGGTTAGTACATTGAAAGAGAGGAGGGTGGCTATTAGGGGGAGTTTTGTATTTAAGGAGGGGTTCTGATTGGGTAAGCACATTGAAAGAGAGGAGGGAGGCTATTAGGGAGAGGCTGGTATTTAAGGAGGGGTTCTGATTGGGTAAGTACATTGAAAGAGAGGGGAGTGTCTATTAGGGGGAGTCTTATTAGGGGGAGTCTGGTATTGAAAGAGAGGAGGTTGGCTATTAGGGAGAGTCTGGTATTGAAAGAGAGGAGGTTGGCTATTAGGGGGAGTCTGGTATTGAAAGAGAGGAGGGTGGCTATTAGGGAGAGACTGGTATTTAAGGAGGGGGTCTGATTGGGTAAGTACATTGAAAGAGAGGAGGGTGGCTATTAGGGAGAGTCTGGGATTTAAGGAGGGGTTCTGATTGGGTAAGTACATTGAAAGAGAGGGGGGGGGCTATTAGAGGGAGTCCGATATTTAAGGAGGGGTTCTGAGTGGGTTAGTACATTGGAAGAGAGGGGGGTGGTTAGTAGGGGGAGTCTGGTATTTAAGGAAGGGTTCTGATTGGGTCAGTACATTGAAAGAGAGGGAGGTGGCTATTAGAGGGAGTCCGATATTTAAGGAGGGGTTCTGAGTGGGTTAGTACATTGAAAGAGAGGAGGGTGGCTATTAGGGAGAGTCTGGGATTTAAGGAGGGGTTCTGATTGGGTAAGTACATTGAAAGAGTGGGGGGTGGCTATTAGGAGGAGTCTGGTATTTAAGGAGGGGTTCTGATTGGGTAAGCACATTGAAAGAGAGGAGGGTGGCTATTAGGGAGAGACTGGTATTTAAGGAGGGGGTCTGATTGGGTAAGTACATTGAAAGAGAGGGGGGTGGCTATTAGGGGGAGTCTGGTATTTAAGGAGGGGTTCTGATTGGGTAAGTACATTGAAAGAGAGGGGAGTGTCTATTAGGGGGAGTCTTGTATTTAAGGAGGGGTTCTGATTGGGTAAGTACATTGAAAGAGAGGGGGGTGGCTATTAGGAGGAGTCTGGTATTTAAGGAGGGGTTCTGATTGGGTTAGGTTTCAGGTAAGCTTTTGTGGTTTAGTTCAGAATTCAGATTTTTTTCTTTATCGTTTCACTTTTATTATCTGTGCCTTAACTCTTTCTGTACAAACTATTTAATTGATGCCATAGTTTTGTTGATGTCTTATGGCCTTTGTGGTACTGAAAGAGTTAATAGCATATACTTGTAAGTTAATATAAAAAATGGCTACACAGAAATATTTTACTTTTAAAGACATGGAATACGAGTTGTGCATGTTAAAAAAAACCAATGAAATATCCAACTTTTGACAGTTCCCTAGACTATATACTTCAGGCAATTTATCAATGAATTTCCAAATATTCTACTTTGAAAACAAAAATTTCAATGACTGTCATGCCTGCCAAGTTCTCGTCAATGAAATGAGGGTCATACAGTCAAAATGCAAGTCAAACGAACTAATTGCAGGTCATTTCAATAAATTTAACGTTCATCCATATCAACTGCATAGCATTTAAATTATTTTAGATTTCCTTTAAATTTCCTACTTTGTCTTTTCTAGGGAATATTGTAATATTCAAAGCTTAAACAAGAAACTGCCAATGGCGATATTGCCGGATTGCTACAGTACATTTTCAGGTAAAGCATCACATGTGATAAGCATCCTTTAAGATACATAAGCCATGCAAGTTTAGTTGGTGTAGGACAAGTAGTTGCTTGGTTATTGACCTGGTCAGTCAAGCTGAAAATGTAGGTCAGAAGCAGCATCCGAAGCATCGCATGTGATTAACATCCTTCGATACATAAGCCATGCAAGTTTAGTTGATGTGGGATAATTAATAACATGGAAACTGAGCTTAACCATTCTTCTTAACCTTAGTGCAGACAGACGGACGGACAGACAGACGGACGGGAATCGCCAATCTATGAGCCCTGATTGTGTTGCAATCCAGCCAAAAATGCTACTTTAAACAAAAATTTTTCTAAACATTTTCTTCAGGTTGGTAAGTATGTATTATGAGAAGTTCTTTTTACGCAACTAATAAATTGTTCTATGTGACGTTGCGATGACTAGTACGATATGTAAACTGTCACCTTCATCAGACAAATGACCAGTGAAGCGTATGCACACAGAGGTGTAAAATGTGAACGAGTTGTCCATAAAATCGATGTCGGTTTCGGCTACGCTTGAAGCTACTGTAAACCGTTTTCATTGTTTGGATAAGCAATGCAAATGCAGGAGATTCCAAAATCTGTGCAGGTCACGGAGGTCATCAATCAGGCATGGACCGTTGTAGATTATGAATATAGGTTAGGCTTGATTATTTTAAGTTGAAGAGAATGTTATGAACTATCCCTGTTGAATTTTGTTTATCTATTATTTACCAAGGTTACTGCTTTGTGGCAGTTTGGATTGTGTATTTAACTCCAGTGATAATAAACATGCAGTTGACAGCTGCACAAGTCTGTATATTTTTGTGTTCTTGTTTTATTTATCACATAGTTCCAATGTTATATAATTATGTAATATTTTGTCTTATGACTGGAGTGTGTTACAGTAATATCACTGCAGTGTTATGTAATTGGTATGATGATAATTGTTTCACATTTCAGTGTAATGGAGTCTTCAAGCTTAGAAACAGGTGGTCGATTCTGATAATATAGGTTGACCTATACATATTCTAAAATAAAATAGCCAGCTCCGACTTGATGAATAGCAGATTTCGTTGTCAGCAATCGGCTTTTAATGCTGAGACTGCAGTGTACTTTCATAGTCACAAAAATAGAAAATGGCATCATTGATTTCTTTGCTTTGGCTTGTTGCTTCAACGTCCTATTACTTAACAGCTATGGTCATTTAAAGCAGAGTACCCAGAGAAAAACGACCAACCTGCGGCCATTACACCCAATGACTGCCCCACACATAGGCCTGGGACCTGCTAGTGGAGGACTAGTGATGATAGACACATAAGCAACCCTGCCTCCCACTCATTGATCTCTAATGCCTTAAGAAATTGGTTTGTGATATAAAAGAAATTGAAATAATATCATCTGAAATACACTTTAGATCTGGTATTGGCAAAATTAAGTGTTATCACTTAGTATTAGGATTGCTCAATAAATTGTGGCTTACTTATGATTATCCCCATATTTAGGCCCGAGCAATTTGATGGGTGGGGGTTTATAGTGTTAACCATGACATCCAGGTCCATCTTTATTCAGTGTCATTTGCTGTTCGAGTCTTCATTTCTTTAAGGATTTTGAAAAAACTTTAACCAAATGTCAAGTATGAGAATACCTCCAATGAGACTACTAGAAAACAAGGAAACCTTTCAAAACAAATGAAAAGTGAGACTGTGTGGGAATGGGCATAATCCAGTTTCTTCCCATTAACTCATTCACCCCTGAAATTTCATAATGAACTATTCCAACCTTTGAATTGGAGGAGTTCAAATGTGTCTTCAGGGGTGAATGAGTTAAGAGACAAACTCAACTACCATCACTTCGTTCCTGCTGAAAGGACACCCATTTGTTTTGCATGTCTCAATACACATGCACTTCTGTCAGTTGCACATCTTGATAACTCAGATATACTGCAAAGCTGATACAAACAGCAGGAAGCAAATTCCTGATTTTTGTCGAGTCGTCAAAGATTTTACTGGTGCCTGGCTTTGTTATATTGTTAATAGGAAATGAGAAAACATAACAATTACGAATATGTTTTTAACATTTTTAATATAAATACAATAACAGCTACATGCATTAATGTAGAAAACAGACCAAGGTTCGCGTCCACATAAAAGTCAATTTATTTAGCACATATTCACATTCCACTGTGTCCATCCTTCCTGTGTCTCATTGTCTACACACTGTATCACACACTGGGCTCAAACTTCACTTTGTTGGAAGGTTGTTTGAGGCGGAGTTCATCCATTTCACCCTCAACGTCGTAGAATGACATAGGGTTATAATGGTGGACCTGCTCTGCCTGGTACTTAGTATTGTCAGTCTGATTGAGAATTGGCTCCGGACCCTTTACTGCAAGTACAATCATAAGAAATATTTCATGCTTTTCATTATATCTAAAGGTCCTGAGCAGGGGCGTAACAAACTAGCTCTCAAAGTGTAAGCCCAATGATGAAATGTGCTGCCTTTCTGCAAGCTCGCAGCGCGAGGAGGGGGAGTTGTTCCGCCTCACATTGGTGGGGGCTTCTTGGGAGTCTCCCCCAGGAGTTTTTCTTTTCTTGAACGCCTGAGATGCGTTCCCCCGTGTTCTTGCATCAGTTTCAATGACCATTTGAAAGCAAGAAAATATCATTTTCCCTATTTTATTTTACAAATATTTTGGTATCTGATGTTTTATATAATATAGTCTTATGTTTCTTTTTTGGTTTTTTTGTTTTTGTCAAAAATGATGTGTAAGCCCAGGCTTTTTTGCTACATAGGTTGTTACGTGCCTGCTGAGGGATCGTCAATTAAGGATTTTCAGGAACATAGTTATACCTGACTGTAACACTTAACAGAGATTCCAAAGAATATATGAAACTCTATGAAAAATGTCATTTACGTTTTTGGCAGCAATTTCTGGAAAACATAATTTGGAGTCCTGCACTCGCCTCTTTTGTTTAGGACTCATCTTATCATTAGATCGGATACTGATTTTTTTGCGCTGTGTATTTGAGGCAATGTAAATGTGGACTATTACTCACAGGGATAATTTGTGCTTATTATACACAGACTGATCATCCGTTTGAATTTCCCCCCACATACCTTACTTAAAAGTTCTGTCAGTATCTTACTGATAGTTTTATATGATGACAACTTGAAACCATGTAATTTTCACACAGTATAATTAGGTTTCCACAAAAAAAAAAGAGTATTTCTCATAGCCAGATCTAGAGGGCCTGTACTGTCACCTGGATATTTGAGCAATCATTGGAAAATGTTCTCAATAAAAGTAATTGGTCAAATATCATCACCCAGGGCCTCCTGGTAGTGCAATTTCAGTTGTTAAAAGGTTGTTATATTTTTTACATATTTCACCCCTCTGACCTTGGAAGTAGGTCAAGGTCATTGATTTGGGGAAACAGCAATCCATGCCAGGTACCTACTAGCCAACTATCATCGCCATTGGCCTCCTGGTTATTCTGAAGAAGTTATTTGAAGCTTTTTATATATTTAATGCATATGACCTTGAAAGTAAGTCAAGGTCATTTATTTGAGGAAAGCTAATAGCCCTCTTTTCGAAAAAAAATACTAGCCCAATTTAATCATTACTTTATGTGTCTTAATTATTTAGAAGTCGCTCAAAGTTTTAAACATATTTGACCTATGTGACCTTCAACATAATTATGTCAAGGTAATTTATTTTACGAACAGTTATAGCCAAAAAAACGTAGACTACCTGTGGGTGATTCTGCTTTTGGAGGTGGCTTATTAGAGGCTGGTGGTGGAGTGGATGATGTTCCTTCATTTCTGCAAAAGACCGAAGGGATCTGGAAAAAAAATAAAAAAAATTGGTTTTAGCCTTGTAAGTTCTTGCAATAAATATGTGAATATGCTCCAAAAAGATAATGTATTGGTTTAAATTACATGTGTTTTCATTCCTGATTGTCTCTATAAAGTAGCACCTGCATGTAAACATGGATAACATTATTCCCTCAAGCAGCTGTGCAAACCCATTAGCGTGAGTTTCCTGTGGCCCTAACACCAGGTGGGGCCAGAGTGCACTGCTATATGGAAACGTGGAATTATCTGACACTGTTTGGTATCAAGGAGTGACTAATCAACAAAAAGATGTGGTCCGGAAATCTTCTAAACAAGAATGATATATTCCGTTATCAGTCCGGATCAGTATGGTTTGTTGATTTGTCACCCCATGACCTACCAAAAAGGCGTTTGCTCAGGTGGGAAATTTTTAACGATTGAAAATCAAGACTCTACTGACAGCATTAAGTAGCTGTTGGTGATAATAAGAGCTGATTGGATCAATAAATAATCCATTTATCAATATATGTGAGGTATGTGTTGTGTCGTAGTAGATTTTTGTTGTCAGCACCTTATATATAATTATAACTCGCCGATAACAGACGGTGTCGGGAGAATTCCACGTTTTCATATAGCAGTGCGCTCTGGCCCCACACCAAAGCATATAATGTCAAAATGTCTAAGTCTAGTGTTGCAAACCCATATGATAGGTCAGGAATTCCCTAACTTCCCTGGATTGTCTGACATACATGTATGTAGAAATAATTTGCATGCAATAATTGAATGCACTTCACCTGTAAGGCTCAATTATTGAGCATTACATTGAATACAAAGTGCACTCAAGCATAACATAGTGATGACATAAGCTTGTAGCTTTATTTTTATTCACTTTTAACGTTACAATTGTGAGATCAATACCAAGTGACGATGCATGCCCATTGTGCCTCTTGTTTTCATATGATATATATCTCAATTTACAATCAGAACTTCAAACACCTGTAGTCTTTCTACACTTTACTCACATGTGCTGGCCTCGTCTGTCAATACACTCATATAATATAATATGGGTGTATATTTAATATTGACAGACGAGGCCAGCACCTGTATCACTCCTCAAGGACATGCACTCACACTGGATCGTTTATGCCAATGTTATGTATGGTCATTTTTAAAGTGGAGATGCTACGGTACCATACACAATTTTCTAAAGTTCTAGCTCTGAAAGGTATATAACGAACTGATGTCAATAATGCATTCTTCATCTCTTTAGAGTAGACTACAAACCCATGTTATCCTTCTAGAGACAAGTCGCCGAGACAAGGTCGCCATCTTGTTTAGGTGGTTGTCATAAATTTCAAACTGTAAAATGTTGTGGAATGGGCATGTGTGAAGGAACATTTAAGGATGCATGCACAAGTTTTATTTTTAAATGTCTCTAATTAATTTCAAATGTGACGTATCAATGGACAGTAGACTACCCATTCGATGCTTTTTATTGAAGGTAAGTTAAATTCGATCATTTTTGTTAATCACTTGCTAGATTTGTACCATCCTCGATATCCAGGGGTTATGCTCACTTTCGCTCCTCGACCCCTGGAATATGTCATAGCAAAATTGAAGGCACGAAGAAAGCTGTTTGATTGGTCTCGGGTACAAAAAATGACCAATCGCTAGGCTGATGCGTGTCCTTTGAGGATTACAAAGGATAGACGCCCGACTTGAAAGCCTGTCATTTTTTACCGTTACGTGACCGCGAGATTCCTTTGATGTACATCAAAGGATCAAACTAGCCTTCTCGTCTTATCTTCAAGGTACTGCACAAAGAGCCTTCGATTTTTCTATGACATACATGTATTCTAGGGGGTGTAGAGAACGAAACTGAGCGTAACCACTGCACATACAATGTAAGCGTTACACTTGCATAAAATTCTTTCGACAACACAATTGCTTTAGAACACGAAAATTATATTTTTTGGGATAATTAAAAACATTTCAACTGATATTTATAGCTAAAATATATTTATATCAGGACGAAACAACCTTGGGCGAATTGGATTCGTCGCTCAAGAAAACTCAAGAACTACGATAAGGGTCTCCAAATTGACGTCATGATATTAGATTTTTCCAGGGCGTGTGATACAGTGCCCCATGATAAGCTACTATATAATATGGAAGACTATGAGATACGAGGACCACTCCTTGAATAGACACGCTCCTTTCTAGATGTAATCGCGATATGCGCGTAGTAGTATATACATAGAAGGCGATGCCGGATTCTCCGGGGTCCCCCAGTGCACTGCCTTCGGCCCCTTGCTATTTCTTGTCCACATCAATGACCTACCGAACTCTGTTAAATCACAAATACGACTATTCGCGGATGATTGCCTAATATACCTACTTGTGATTGCAAACAGGATCAAGAAACCCCCTACCACTACTTTTTTGAATGTCAAATATTTAATAACCAAAGACATGTTCTGATGAGCTCCTTACCAAATGATAATCATATGCATAACAATATAAATGTCTTACTCAATGGTTGTTCACAATGTAGTGATGATATTAATGCTACTATACTTGAAAAAGTATCAGTATTTATCACTGATACAAAGAGATTCTTTAACCACCATTAGTTGTAACTGTACTGTGCAAAACAAAATTCATCTTGCTTACAAGTCTTTCTATAAAAAATAATTCCTACTTTAGAATTTGATAAAATAAATTGATGAATGTAGGTGGTTGGATGATGATGATAAAAAAACGATGACTTCTGTTGAAAATATTTAATTATATACATTGTATTACCAAAAATCTCCTAGTTTTGCATGGCGAGGATCTCAATAAATGAGGCTTATTTATTTATAACTTCTGTGGGAGTTACTCCCCTTGCATCACTATTTCTGTAACTACTTCATGTAACATTTCTCTCTCTTTCTAGTTTATATTTGTTTGTAATTCTGGCTAGGAGAGGCCTTACATATAGGCATAGCCTGTTGTCCAATTCTTTTGATTTTTCAATAAGTTTTACTGAAATGAAATACCGTGTCATCAAATATATCAGCGACCATGCGATACAAAATTCAATGTTAAAAAAGGTTATGTTCTTTCGACAAACAGCAAATCATCAACCATATCCTCAAATCTGTACCCAAAAACCCACACATCGGCCTTATAGTCTCGGAGGACCTGAAACGGAATACAGATATAAACGATATCTGAAGTAACGCCAGTTCTACATCGAAATTCCTACGTCGAAACTTACGACACAGTTCAAAAACATGCAAGAAAAATACTTATGTATCACTTGTTCGGTCCATACTAGAATACAGTGCGATCATATGGGACCCCTACTTAAAATCAGACATCTTAAAACTGGAACGGATCCAGAGGCGAGCAGCACGTTCCAAAGATTACAAGTCCAGGGATAAAGGCAGAATTGAATTCATGATGAAGGACTTGGACCTAAAAACATTGCAAGAAAGGCGTAGGGGGTTACGCCTCACATTTTTATACAGGGTGGCTGAGGGGCTAGTGCCAGCGTTACCCTCAATCTCACCACATTACCAAACAACCTCAAAACAAAAGACGTGTCCAAACAACAAAAAGATAAGAGAACTACCATTGAAAAAAATATTGTCAAAGACCATCAGACAATTAAACCACGTACTCCAATACCAGCAAAAACTGACACTTATAGAAACAGCTTTTGTGTACGAACAATTAGGGAGTGGAATCAACCAGAGAACCACCAAGTACTTGCCAGTACACACCCGGCCTTCAAGGCCATGTAAAGCATCCGTCGCGTTAATGCCAGGAATTGTATTCCAGCGTCGACGTACCTATTTAGATTCAGATTCAGGCTGGATTTATATGGCAAGCCAAGTTGTCATTTATGCATGGAGCAATGTTGATCCAGTACTTAACCAAATTATATAAGATATCTTATTTAATTATATAAGATATCTTATATACTTTATGAGATATCTTATATACTTTATAAGATATCTTATATAATAAATGAGATATCTTATATATTTTATAAGATATCTTATATACCTTTCTTTATAAGATATCTCATAAAAGATATAAGATATCTTATAAAGAAAATTAAATGAGATATCTTATATCTTTTAGAAGATATCTTATATAATATATAAGATATCTTATAAACAAAATTAAATGAGATATCTTATATAATTCGGTTATAAGATATCTTATAAAGAACGAGATTTGAATTTGAGATAATAAACCCTCCTCCACAGCGCTCGGTAAAGCATTAAATCGAAAGCCTTAGTTTCGTACGTATCTCTTAACCGGAAATGAAGTATGTGAAAGTGAAAGTAGGAGTTTAATGCCACCAAATAGGTCTGGTTATAGCGGTATTAACATTATTTTAAAAGGTTAAGCTTTATAAAGTAGATGGGGGGTAAGTGGTGGAGAAATGGATGTTCCTATGTATTTCATAACTGAAGGAAAACGATCCTACTGCATGTATTACTTACAATTTATTCATTAAAATGTTTTATCTTGATTTTCTTCACGGATTTCCTCTAAATGTTTTTAAAGAAATTTGATAAAATTGTAATATTACCCGTACAAATTCACAGACAGGTAATTGACATTAAACATATTAGGAACATTTATTAATTGTTTCGGCTGCTTATCACAGACCGCATTAAAGCCATTTTGGTCTCTGTGGAGTATAACATATAGATAGACATGGGGACATTTTTTTTTATTTACTGTTTCAGACTGGTCATACACCTGTATTTATTATCACAGACAGGCTATGTATCTTTAATTATATTGTTTCAGATAAAATTGTTTTAACTATCACAGACATTAAAGAACATACTTATGTATTTGTAATTCTATGTTCTATCAATATACTGTAATGTAAGGAACATTAATTCATTGTTTCAAACTGGTTATAAACTTGTATTTACTTATACTATTACAGACAAGAAGTAATATTTCATTATTTGATACATATGTATACAGATAAGTGATATTTCATCATCAGGTGCATGTTCTTTAAAGTCTTTGAGATATTGATCACTTATAAGATATATTTTGTAGAGATACAATTGTATTTTGTGACCTAAAAGGCATTTCACACAAGCCAGATACATGGTAACACTTACAGCATGTCTGTAGTAGTAATTACATGTGTAATACCTGTCTGTGATAGTATATACATGTGTAATACCTGTCTGTGATAATATATGCATGTGTAATAACTGTCTATAGTAGTAATTACATGTGTATTACCTGTCTGTGATAGTATATACATGTGTAATACCTGTCTGTGATAGTAAATGCATGTGTATGATCTGTCTGTGGTAGTAAATACATGTGCAATACCTGTCTGTGATAGTATATTCATGTGTAATACATGTATGTAGTAGTACATGTTTAATACCTGTCTGTAGTAGTATTTATGTGTAATACCTATCTGTGATAGTATATGCATGTGTAGTACCTGTCTGTAGTTGTAATTACATGTGTAATACCTATCTGTGATAATATATACATGTGTAATACCTGTCTGTAGTAGTAACTACATGTGTAATACCTATCTGTGATAATATATACATGTGTAATACCTGTCAGTAGTAGTAACTACATGTGTTATACCTGGATGTAGTAATATATATATATATAATATATTGCTGAGCATCAAAACTTGGATACACTTTTGTTAGAAAGACTTGTCCTAACTCAGTGCCTCTTGTTTATTATAAAACACAACAAAGATATCTTTATAAAGAAATATTGAGAAGGTTATATAATGATTTGTATACAGATTATACAAACTAGTAAACAGGGTAAATAAGAAGTGGTTTACAGAGTATATAAAGAATGGTATATAGAGAGTGGTATACAGGGTACATAAAAAGTCCTTATTTATTTAGTAAGGGTATCCTCTATAATACAGCCTCATTGCATAAGGTACCTGTATTTATCATCTCTATTATATATAGTGTATTGACTCATTTTCCAGAAGATACAATGTACATGATACAAAGTATATACATGGTATATTTCCGGTAAAGAGGAAAATAAGACATTTCATCTTCAAAAACCTGTAATTGTAGCATATCTCAGGTCTGAAAAAAACAGAGGCAAATCAGTCACTGGGCCAGAGCATTTGGGTGCCAATAGAGGAAGTTTGGGTGTAAAGATAATTAAGATCCCCCACCATGTAACCATCTGAATACATCCATGCTTACATGATTGGCGCCAGGGTCCTGCCCTGCCACAAGGGGCTTATAGTCCCCAAATTTTACATGAAATCAGTAAAGATCCCATCCAAATGCTGCTGGGCATGCAGAGGAAAAACACTCATGATACCAAGATAGTCCCTAATGGAGCCCACCCCATCCCTGAGGACTTACTCCTTCAGTCATAACATGGAAATTGTTGAGATCCCCAAGCTGATATTTCCTGTATGGTAAGAGGTAATCAACAACTTTTAATGAAAAATATTATTCCAGGTGAGCTATTAATAATGTGCCTGTGCTTCTTGTTCTTGAGAGGCCACAATAAGGGAACATAAATGGGAAACTCCAGCACAAGCAAACATGTTATATTTCCTGTGCATGCAATCAATATGAACCAATATCAGACAACTATTATAAAGATGAGGTACCTTACCTACAGAGAATATGGACCTTACATATACCTCATGTATATGTGCATGCATACAAGATGTACTTGATGTATAGGTGTAATCTGATGTATAGAAGGTATATATATACCTGATGCATGGAAGGTGTATATATATACCTGACCTATAGGAGGTGTATACCTGATGTATAGAAGGTATATATACCTGATGCATGGAAGGTGTATACCTGACCTATAGGAGGTGTATACATGATGTATAGAAGGTATATATACCTGATGCATGGAAGGTGTATACCTGACCTATAGGAGGTGTATACATGATGTATAGAAGGTATATACCTGATGTTTAGAAGGTGTATATCTGATGTATATGAGGTGTATATCTTAAGGTTTTTTTTATCAATTGTCGCCCTTTTACTCTTGGGGAGGGGATACATTTACATGATGTGATCATGTGGACGCTAAGGGCCTGAGGGGCGGAGCCAAAAGGGGCCAAAATAGCTCAAACAATAATTGTCTACTTCCAGATCCAGATATGTTAAAAAACCTTCTCATGGATGGAAATATCCTGATGTGCTTAATCAAAATGTGAATTTCACAACCCCTTGGGTACTAATTCCTCCCTGGTGAGGGGCAAAATTCCCTGCTATACATATATATATATGTAATTTTTATTTTTGACATATCACAACAACAAATAACAATTGCATTACAACTCAGGTGACCTGTTAGGCCCATGGGGCTCTTGTTTTAAAGTACTGTATTAGTTGGATGTGTTGATATTGGCTTCCACTAATAATCCCACTACTTACCTATAATTAGATGTGGGTTACAGGGACATGTCACATGCTTATTAAGTGTGCTGCAAAATATATATATATACTGTGATGCCCATTCATTATATATAATATCTTCCATTGTATATATAAACGAGTACCTGGTAGTATTTGACATGTCCCTATAGACTTAAGGTTATGGAATTATGCACTATAGAAATATTCAAATTTCAAATATTTCATATCAATATGGATTGAGTGTCGGTGCTATATATTTAAAAAAAAAACTGTTCAAAACAGTTGATTCTCAAACAGAATTTGTTCTGTATCAAAAAAAAAAATGTTTTTGGGCTGAAATATCTATCCTAGATGTTATTATTAAAAAGAGTTATACAATACTTATCCACAAGTTTTTGAGTCTTGAACCCAAATGTTAAGCACATGTATCAGTAAACTGAATATTTCTCTTGGAATCTGCTTCAAACTTTGGGGGAAAAGTCCTATTTGTACCATATGCTCCCCTGAGTGATAAAATTAATTTGGAAAAGGAACTGAAATACAAGACATTCTTCATTTTTGAAATTATATCTAAGTTCCCTAAGTTTATGATCTAGTGCCAGTCACTTTTCATAAATAAAGATGATGAGATTAATTTAATATAATAAAATAACCTTGCTATAGTGATATGTACACATATATAGTATAAATATATTTTATTATGAATTTTTTCTTGGACTTAAAATTAACCTAGAGAGGTCAAGTTAGATCAAATGTAAAAATAAGCAGTTAATGTCCTGGGTATAATAAATTGTATTTCATTATAAATATTCTTCGTGTATTTTAGATTTGCTTATATCTGGTAGATTGCAAGATTCTATACCACCAGGTCTAAATTAACATATAGGACAGTCTTTGAAAAATGGGACAAAATCTAAACAAGCTACTTGGGGTGGGCGACTCACTGAGGGTAGGTTAACTAATTTGATTGGTTTGGAAGAACACTGAACAGATGTACATGTCCTTTACCTGTTAACTCACAAAATACATGAACACAAACTTTAAACCATGAATTTATAACACAGGAAAATCAGCAGAAATCAATAAATTTTGCTTACAACAAAGAAGACAAGTGATGTGAATGATAAATGTTGAATCAACTAACTCAGCTTAGCTTTCTGACATCAACTATAAGACAAGACCTCATTAATAATATAAACCAAACCCCTCCCCCCTCCCCAAATCAAACCAAACTAGAATTCTTCAACGAGGCTGTGTACGAAAAATAACATAAATCAAGATGAATTTTAAAATCTCACTTTATATTTGAGTATGTGGTGACTGATTATGACAATATTTCTGCGCTCTTACCGAGTTTGGCATCATTACACCTTCACAATATAAATCCTCAGCAAACTACTTTCATTTGTCTCATTCTGGTTGAAAATGACGTACAACAGATTAATAAATGACAGTGATTCTCACTAATAAGAACTATATCTAAACCTTTGGATTTTAGGCCAACGAAACTAAATTGTCATTTGAATAAATAAACATGTAGCAACTTCACAGACATTTTCTAAGTTCTCAATGGCTCTTTAGAACACTCGAGTTTCTTTCGGAAAAGTTTATAACTCTGGATTATTCCAGCCATTTTAGAATATATTAATGTGTGATTCCTAACACTAATATTTTAAAATGTATGCGTAAATATAATAATTAATATTTGAATATATCAACTAAAATTCTATATTGGTGTTAGTTATACTTCCTGTTGAAAAATAAGCTAGTTTTACACAGCTCCCGTTTATCGGACTCGTGATCTAAGTACAACGGGAGCAGTCATTTTCAAACATTTCTTCTTTGTCGGTCTCGCGAGAGTCTCGTTCTTTATAAGATATCTCATAAACTTTTCTTTATAAGATATCTTATATCTTTTATGAGATATCTTATATAATATATAAGATATCTTATAAAGAAAATTAATTGAGATATCTTATAAAAGATATAAGATATCTTATATATTATATAAGATATCTTATAAAAGATATAAGATATCTTATAAAGAAAAGTTTATGAGATATCTTATATCTTTTATAAGATATCTTATATCTTTTACAAGATATCTTATAAAGTATATAAGATATCTTATAAAAGATATAAGATATCTCATAAACTTAAAATAAGATATCTTATATGTTTATAAGATATCTCATATGTTTATAAGATATCTTATATGTTTATAAGATATCTCATATGTTTATAAGATATCTTATATAATATATAAGATATCTTATATAATATATGAGATATCTTATATAATTTGGTTAAGTACTGGATCAACATTGCTCCATGAATAAATGACAACTTGGCTTGCCATAGATTTAGGGCGAAACAATCCGTAGTGCGAGCGGGATTTTGGATGAAACGATCTGGATCCCAATTTTTCCTGAAGAATCCCTGTTCCATGGCACTCCGGTTTTACCCATATTCAGTAGCCTCCTCTAAACTTCCGTTTTTATATTACTGTAGCTCAGTTGGGCCAGAACACTCCAGTTGTACCAGGTAGTTCAATCAGTTAGAGCGATAGTACATCGAGTTCGAATCCCGGGTCTAGCCCGGCTAATGGGCTATAATTTCCTATATGTTATACTCCACATAGACCAAAATTGCAAAATGTTTATTTCATCTTTAGCATTTCTCTTAAAAGTCACGCAGTGTATACTTTTCGTTCAGAAACAGTTTCCAACACTAGGGCCCCTTTTGCGTATCCCGTTCAACCAGTTTAAACGTGTATGGTACTGGAAGAACCTGGATAGTCTGTTCCCAGGGTTGGAGGCGTGCGCTTTGGATTTAATTTGTTGACAGTAAAGTTTTAAGCGTTTCTAAGTCAGTTGTTTTGACCAGATCTTCTAGGCTGATATTCCAATCAACTTGAAACGACTACATGCGCAGATCTGAACCAAGGCTGACCTTAGGAATATAAAATTCAGCACGTGTATATTGAGGGGTCCAGACGTGCCTGACGATAACTTAAATGCTGACTATTGCTAGTTTGTGTTATTCCTTTATAAATCAAGGTCAATCAACATGTTAGGTTTTAACACGGAATTAGATTATCTAAGTCCGTGGTTTTAATTAAGATAAAATTATACAATTCAGTGGACGCGTGAAAAATTCTTGGTATATTGTTATATATTCTCCGGAACTGCGCATTGTTTTTAAGCTCTGCCTACAGTTCGGTCCAAGTGCGTTCGTTAATCGTGGAATATTTCTGTATCACATAAACCGCTGGTTACAGTATATTTTGGCAGTGGTACGGGGATCCTTAATAACTTAATGACGTACAATATTATTAAAACTGTGCTTAATAAACATTGATCAAATAGGTCACTTATGTGCACTTTTTTAGGAATGCACACATTCTATTGACCAAACAAGAGATGTCAACGATTTTTGAAATAGTATGTTTAAAAAATAAAATTCGTTTCGTTTTAATAACTTTCTCCTTGCCCTGTAACCGGAAGTGTGTAGACCCCATTCGGTCTCTTACACGACCAACATGGCGGAACAGGTACATAGCCATGTGGGGAGAGGGGAAATTCAGCATTTCTCATTAAAATAACGTCTTAGAATTCCTAAAACTACTTATTTGTGCTGTTAAGCAACTATGGTTTCCTTAAATTTATATGATAATCACTTGTGTTCTAATAAAAAGCCGTTTTGAATGTAACCTACTATGCACAGTCGGCCTTGTTCTCGGGAAGTTTGGCTCCTGTTGACCACAGGGGCTTGTATAGACTTATATGATAAAATTAGCTATACATACCTATATATAAAGACTTGTATGATAAAATTAGCTAGAAATACCTATATTTAAAGACTATATATAGGTATTTCTAACTGATTTTATCATATAAGTATATACAAGCCCCTGTATGTTGACCATGTCCCATAACGTCCTACTTCCACAATTAACACATAAATCGAGATCACTATATAGTGAATACCTGGAAAGACTTACATATTTTTGTTAATTTTCAGAGAAAGTTTTGATTCTTAGCAATTTGTTCTTTGCTATAAAACGCTAAACTTCAGAGATTTCGTAAAAAAAATAGCCATAATTTATTACCGAGTACCCAAATTTGTACACCATTAAAGGGGTTATGATTTTTTTCTCTTTTCTATTCGTTGATGTGCCGATTTCTACCAATACCAAACTGAACTACATTTGTGTATACACACTTATATTATCCAGTTATAAGGACCGGAAATCAACATTTAAACATGCCTATACATTGATTTAAACCTTCAGAATTAAGTTTTCTCTGGTTTTCCGACATGTTTACTTTGAAGTCATCGTGTACTATTAAAATGTCACTGAATACAACACTATTTGGTGGAAAGGCTGATAAATATCTTAACTGGTAATACCATAAGAGGAAAATACATAATTTGGGTAGAATAACTATTTTTGGGGGGGGGGGGGGGGGGGGTGATGTAGTCAATATATATACTGCTCGATTGTTTTAACAAGATTGAAACTCATTGCCAGACTTTCAAAACAAATTAAAAGTAGTTGAGATCAGATTCAGGTGCTATAATAACACTATCACTTCTGTGTGGTGTCTGGTTATCAAACTATTAACAATGCCTCACAAGTTTATGTCTATATCAAAGACGTTGAATAGTGATAAACAGTTTACGATGTAATAAGAGCCTCTTGTTAATGCTTTATTCTAGTCGCAGATGATGTTTTATCACGATGGTCTACTGAAATCTTTGATGACACTGCCTCATGGCACTCTGCTGATGTGACACTATCTACATACAAGTCACATGGAAGTCAAATTGTTATCAATTTGGGTAAAGATTCAACCCGCAAAACAAAAATTATGTTGGACTGCAAAGAAAGCTAGCACCAACTTCCTTCATGATTCATATTAATCCCATCATATTTGTTTTGGGGGTTGAATCTTTACCCAAATTGATAACAATTATCGAATTCATGTGCCGTAATTTAGACAGTGAAACTGTTTAAAGGGCAATAATAGAGCTAGAGGTTCCATGTCAAAAAAAAGAAAGGACTATATATGGTTTTGGACCTTTTTTGGCCCCCAAATCCATCAAAATTAAAAATCTTGAATAGAATTTCAAATGACTGTTTCTTCAATTTTGAATACTTCCCCGGTACTATATCAGTATGCTATGTTTTGTGAGAAATAAACCAATATGTGTTCTTCTGTTGACAGACGGAAAGGTCATTCCAGAAACAAGGAAATGTGTTCTTGAACAAGAAGCAGAGTGTTCTGTCAGGCAAAGGCAAAAAGAACCTGCGATATGTCAAGTCTATTGGTCTAGGCTTCAAAACACCCCGAGAGGTAAGTGTAACGTGGACGCCAATGTAAGAGATTCTCTCTGGGTGAGTCGGTAGGAAGCGGCTACTATTTGTTTAGTCCAGGGTTCCACAAGTATGAGGGAGTCATTACTCTGTCTCCCATCATATCTGGTTTAATTACAATGATCTTTTGAAATTGTTGATGACAACATGAATATTATCTTTCTCTACACTGTTTGACATGGCCATTTAGGGGTTTCACCAATTTCTTCTATTGATAATGGCCTAGTCTGTAAAGATTTATCTGCCCCATCAACATAAGATGAGATTTTTTTGATTGCTCATGAGATATTTGTGCTAAAAACAATGTGGATAGGTAGAAATAATGTATTTATCTTTATTATTATTTTTCGAGTAAAGTTTGAGATATTTTCCAGTGATAAACCATCATAAAAGAGTTTATTCACTGTAGTGTTATTGAGTGTGTTGACACAGGTAAGTGGCCTTTTCCCAGCATATTCATTGTCGGAAGTGTAAATGGCAAAAAAATCATTTTTCATGATCATGATCTGACACAGCACTTCTAAAAATTTCAGGGGGAAAAAATCATACTTCTGGAATATGTTTGGTATTCAACAGAAAACCATTGCATATCTTTTATAACTATGGAAAGTAACCCCAGTCGCACTGCAATTGCTAGTGTGTCACGGGTGATGTTTCTATCACGATGGTCTACTGATATCATTGATGACACTGCCTTATGACGTTGACTGATGTGACATTGCAGATTTATTTCATTGTTCATCCATTCAATTTCAGCGTTTTTGTCTGATTTTACAGCCGGATACAGGCTGCTTCCCCAAGCAAAAAAGTGCTTTATCTTCCGATAATGGAGAAATAAATGAGGAATGTCTTCCTAATTTCAATGAAAATGAAGGGACAAGGTGTTGTAAAATCTAGGCAGAAAAAATGCTGCAATAACATGATCTGACACCTCCATAATAATATTTATATGTATAGGTTTCAGTTGAATTGTCTATTGTTGAATTCAACTGTTCATGCAACTTGTTTGTTAAAAAATCATCTCTCAACATATCACATGCCAAAATAATGTAATTTTAATCCAATAAAAATATCAAACAGAACCCATGATCAGTTTCTTTTTAAAACATGTTCACACTCTCTGTCACAGATGATGATTCTATCACGATGGTCTACTGAAATCATTGATGACACTGCCTCATGGCGTTGACTGATGTGACTAGTACTTTGCAGATTTATTTCAATATAGTTTATCCATTTAATGACATTCAAGATTTGGCACCTACGTAACGATATAATGTATAGGCTTAAATTACATTGTCTAAGGTTGTATTAAACAGTTCATGCAATTTGCAAGTAGGTTTGAAACTGAAAGCCTCTGTGGCTGTTCAGCTTTATTTACATCGTGTTCCAAGCTGCTTTATATAAAATGTGTGTTGAAAATGAAAACTTTATATATGTTTGATCTGGCAAAAAGATGTAATAATTTTGACGGGGGGGGGGGGGGGGGGG